AGCAGCCTGTGACCACAGTTGCAGTGCAGGGGAATTTCTTCTTTTGTAGCACTCCTCTTGAGCAACAGCAGCAGCAAGCGACCTTGGAAGTCTAGCTGGGCTTGTCACATACGCTTCCTTACAAGCTTTTCATGGTTGGGCTCGCTAAATGAGAGAGAATCTTACTATTTTGGTTTTGAAATGGTGTATTTACAGGGATAGACATGGGAATGAAGCCAGAGGTGGACAGAATGTGACACCTTCCGCATCATATAGACTGCAAACCGGTCAGCAGGTCAGGGTGTTGGGTAGAACCAACAGCCTTTTTTTAACCTGTGAGCTTCATCTAAACCTTTTGTCTCACTTGCCATTGTCTGCCACATCTGTCCTCTGAGATGAGCCCCCTTGGGTGCCAGAACGCTCTGTCTCTCCCCTTGTCGGTGGTTTGAGGGAGCCCTGATTACAGGAAGGAGAAAGCGGATTTTAATGGTGCCAGAGTGAAACTCCTGCTTGCTACTGTAGTCATGAAGGGAGGAACTAAACTTTCCTGGCTCTTGACAACCAAAAGCTACCTGTCCACCTGAAGGCATTCATCTGTGTCCTGTGGTCAGTGCAGAGGCACCATCTCATTTCTCGGCAGGGCACAAATTGTCCTAAGAGATGCCTGACACTCTCCACAGGCAGTAGTGGGAGCCTAAACAACTGGTCTGAGCAAGCTATAAAATAAGTCCCCAGTGAGATGAACGTTTAAGTAAAAAGCATTGTGAGGATCAAGCTTTTGGAGGAAGAACCAGCTGGCTTTGTTAGTATCGCCAGTGCGTTGCAGGGAGGAGTGCTGCCATGCCTTTGCAGGCTCTAGTCCTGTGACGTGTGAGAAGTGGCTTATTGCACGCTGAAAATGGTGTGATGTAAAGGCACAGTCAGGTTGCCTTGTGGTGCCTTGTCACAGAGCTAACCTTCAGGCTGCCTGGGTGCCCAGCGTGCTCCTTTGAGGGAATTGACACTCCTGGCCAACCTGCCCTCTTTCTCTCAAATTGAGTAGTGCCTGTGCAAGGTAGGACCTACCATGACAGTGAGCTAGGGCAAAGGAGACTTAAGGTGAGCCTCTCTGCAAGCCAGGGTATGGTCATCCTTTCCATGGTTCCATCGCTTGTGACAAGAAAGATTTATCATTTGCAGTTGTGGGAGACAAACCTGGCACACGTTCATCTTTTTCTTCTTCCCTTTTCATTTTCATTCTAAACATACAGAATGCCTTGATTTTCAAGGTAATTTATTGTTTTCAATTAAACTTCTAGCTGGGCATTTGTGGTATTAAAACTTTTGGCAGGATTAAATGCAAATGCCAGGTGAGTCTGATGGACTGTGTTTGGAAAGCTGTCCTGGCTCTAATCAGATCACTGAGGATATGTCATCTCACCCTCTCCTCTCCTTGTTAGCTGAGGTTTCCATACAGAGCTCTGTACCCTATGGGAAGAACATCACCCAGGAGCTAGTATAGTGCAGCATGGGAAGCTTTTATTTTGGGACAGATGGTTTGACGTTAATCACATGTGTCACATAGTAGAATCTTAACCCAGAATGTGTCAGATGTGTCTTTTTAAGCCAGGATCTGAAGCACTCTCCTCCAGTTGGATGCTGTTTCCACCAATAAGTATGTTTATGTTTGACTCTCCTTCCTCTTCGACAGGATGACTTGCTGTCCTTGAAAGTTGTCAGTGTCCTCCACCACCTCAGCATCAAGAGAGCCATTCAAGTTCTGAGAATAAATAACTTTGAGCCCAACTGCCTGCGCAGAAGGCCGTCTGATGAGGTACTGCTTTAAGATGAAGCTATGAAGAGGAATCCTCTAGGTCTTTTTCCCCCTGGTGTTTCTGATTATTCCTGCTCTGCTCTCTCCTTCTGTCATCTCCTTCCTATTTCATTCTATTCCATTTTTGGTTTCCTTTTTCTCATCTTGTTCTTCGAGTCTCATGCGCTGCCACCACTACCTGGAACACCACTTTCTTTCCTCCACCTGCTATGGTCCCAGACTCATGTTCCTCTTGCCAAATCTCCTGCTTCTCTTCTTAACCAACAGCTGGCAGTTTTGGCCTAGTCTCTGATGTGTTGTCTGGAACATAAATCATCTGGAACTCGGTGCACTGTTCCCATGAGTCTTGTGTAACTCTCTGGAATATTGATGGTTGTGTCAAAATGTTCTGTGTAAAAGGGGGAGTTTGGCCCTGTTACCAGACAGGAGACTGCCGTCGCTTTGTAAGCTGGATAGAGCAGTAGATGATGAAGTGAGCCATACTCTTGGATTTAGATTCATGATGTGCATCTGCAAGAAGAGCACATGGAGCTAGCTAAATTTTCAGTTCTACTGGTAGAAATTGCAAGTAGTCCTAGTGCACAGCAGGATGATCAAATGATGTGAAGCATATTACAGACCTGCCCACTGTCCAGACCCATCTCCACTTTGGTATTGCTGCAGGATAGCAATCAAAAAAAGAGCTGGCTGTTTTTTTCTCAAGTGCGAGGTGGGCTTCCATTCATTAAGGGCAGGAGAGGTTTGTTTCAGTGAAGACTCGGGCTGGGACAGCCGAGACGGGAAGTCTCCTTAACTGCCCACTCCTCCTGTTCACAGAATAACGTCACACCTTCCGAGGTCACCCAGTGGACCAACCATCGCGTGATGGAGTGGTTACGCTCCGTTGATCTGGCAGAGTATGCACCTAACCTGCGAGGGAGCGGTGTGCATGGGGGACTGATGGTAAGGGGTTTTGACTTGCTTGTTCCATTTTATGAAAAAAAAACATGGCTAAGAATTGCTGGAGCAAAGTTCTGGCATCATCTGTGGTGCACATTCCTTATCTTCTTATCCTGCTCAATAAGAAGTTGCTATCAAAATTTAATACCGTATTTTTAAAGGACATGAGTGTCTTGGGCAGAATTAGCGTGGCAGCAATGGGTTTGATTATGTGTATTCTCCTCACAATTTAATTTGTGTATGGTGTTCTCCACCCTCTGTCCTACAGTGCTGTACGCTGCTATCATGCTGTTAAACAGCCACCGTTTTCCTTCTTAGACCTTGTCCTAGACCTGGATATGTTCTTATTTTGTAAGGAAGGCTTGTTACTTCTGTAAAATTTGCAATTTCAATGTCAAACCAGGATTGTTTCTAATTACTCTAGCAGCAGAAACTCCAGATGAGACTTACACTTGCAGAAGTTTGTTGTGGTGAAGAGGTACATCCGTGCTCCAAACATTTTACATCTGTTTATTTTCCATGATTCTTCTAGCTATGTTTTCCAGAATTAAAAAGGATGGAGGGTAAACATTTGTGGCAGCTTCACACATTAAGGGTGGATTTAGCTTTTCCTTTCTTCTTACTTCCCAATATTTTTCTGTTTATAACTCAAGAAGTAAAGCCTGGAGGTAGCATTTTGTCAATCCTTTAGTTAACTCTCTTTTCTCAGTCTTTGTTGTGTCTTTCCTTTAATATGCAAACAAAAACCATAAAGCAATCTTAGGAAGTGACCAAGATAGGCATGTCTGTTGATGTCCTTGAGACCTCATCACACAGTACTGGCTTCAGCTGGATTCTCTGTGATTTGATTAATAGGTTTTGGAGCCTCGTTTCAATGTCGAAACCATGGCACAGTTGCTGAACATCCCACCAAACAAGACGCTACTGAGACGACACTTGGCGACTCATTTCAACCTCCTCATTGGGCAGGAGGCCCAGCAGCAGAAACGTGAAGCCATGGAGTCCCCAGACTATGTCCTCTTAACAGCAACTGCCAAAGTAAAGGTAAGTCACTTATCCTGGGCTGGTGCATGAGCTTCCAGGCAGGCATTTAGATCTCCACTGTGCTGGTTTTGTCTGTGTTTGGAGGGCAGTTCAGCAAGGTCTGAGAAAAGGGGCTGAGAAAGGAGCATGAGAGCAAGACTCAGCAGGTCTGGGTTTGACACTTGTGTCTACCTTGAACGCACCATACCCCAGCCTCTCACATGCACAGACAAGAGGTAGCTCTCTTGCATGTTGTCCTTCTGTCTGTCCTGTAAGATATTTTAGAAGGGAGACTGTCTCTTACCATTTATATGCTTATGGTTTAATGCAGTGGGATTCCGATTTTATTTGAGATCCTTTAAATGGTGTTGTCTTAATGACTGTAGAATGAGGGGACACATTGTTCTTTTAGATGCATTTAGCATGAAACACTAATATTTAGTATTTCATGCTAAATACTAAACAGCTATTCAGAAGATCTTTGTTTAGGAGAGCAGTGGGGTTTTGACCATTACTGAAACAGCAGTGCAACAGTAAGAGTTCTGTTAATTTTTTGCTGATTGTCTAACTTACTGTCAATTTTCTCTTCACTTGTAAGCCAAAGAAACTTGCCTTCAGCAGTTTTGGAAGCCTCAGGAAGAAGAAGCAAGATGATGTGGAAGAGTATGTGTGTCCTATGGAGCTGGGACGGGCATCTGGAAGTGGGTCGAAGAAGGGTTTTAAGCCTGGCCTGGATATCCGAGTATATGATGATGATGATTTGGACAGGCTGGAGCAGGTATGTCAGTTCTAGCAGTTTGGAGTCCTTGACTGTGCTGTTGGGTTTGGTGGAAAACCTTGATTTTCCCAGGGACGCCTTCCTTTTGCTTTGGCCTGTGAAGGTCCTGACTACTTGCAGTCACACAGCATTACTAACAAAGTGTCTCTCAGCCCAGGGAGGTTCAAGCTGTAAATACAGCACCTTTAGGACCTGCTCTGGCATAACTGATCTGTCCTGGTGGTGCACACTCCTCCCTTGTTCTGACCATTATTGGTGTAATCAAGCAGTTGCATTATGTGCTGCACTTAGTTGCCACTCTGTCATGGCATACAGTGAATTTTATTATTGATTAATTATTCACTATCTGTTTTTTGTAGATGGAAGATTCAGAAGGGACAGTGAGGCAAATAGGAGTGTTTTCTGAAGGCATCAATAACTTGACAGTAAGGCTTAAAAGCGGGGTCTGTGGAATAAGATCTCTGTTTCTCTAAGATGGGTATAAACCCCTTGGCAGTTGCTAGTATTAAATAGTGATGCTACTTAATGCAAATACACTTTGTATAACTTTTCTTTGGTGCTACTGGCTCTGTCAAGCAGCTGAGTTTTGTAGTTTGGGGGGAAATTGCTTTGATTGATTTCAGTGGGGGACCTAGTCTTTGGCTAGAGTGGAGCACTGCTGGTCTCAGAGGGCTAAAGTATATAAAGTACTGTGTAAATTATGGGTATAGTGAAGCTTTGTCAAACTAGGGGTTAGTGGAGGTTCTTCGGGTTTTGTACAGGGACTGCGGGGGAAAAGAAGACTTGGTGGTACAAGAAGATACTCGCCCATCTTGGTTGGGGAGGTTCCCCTGGCTGGTGGCCCATAGTCGCCAGCTCTCCTCGTTGACTCACCACCCTCCACGGAGGGCAGAGGACCTGGCTCAAGGCCGGTGGGTTGCCCTTGGGTGGTGAGTTGCCAACTGAGGGTCGCAGCGCATTTTCTGGGTGGAAGCCCAGCTCCAGCCCATGCTCCCCAAGCCGTTTGGGCCAGCAGGCAGCAGTGAGCTTGGTTTTCACCAGTGTGGGTGAAAAATGTCCTCAGCACAACAAAGTAGCGGCTGGCAGGGCTGATGGTGGTGGTTGCTGCCAGGCACAGGACTAGACCATTACAGGTGCCTGGTTTCAGTTGTGAGGGCCTGAACCTTGTCTCTTCCCTCCTTTCCTTTCTAGCACATGTTGAAGGAAGACGAAATGTTTAAAGACTTTGCGACTCGCTCTCCTAGCACCAGTATAACAGATGAGGACTCCAATGTGTGACAGTAACCACCAGGCACTGACAAAGCCTCGCTTTCCTATGTGCAAGAAACGTCATCATTAAACATGACGGCAGCAGATCATGTACATTACATTGCTCTTGCTTCTGTTTCTTAGAAGTAACAATGGGGGCTGGAGAATTTAGGAAAATAAAAAGGTGCCTACTCTGAAGTTGCCATAAGAAACACCCAGACATTGGTGAATGGTAATTGTTTTTACTATATTTAATGTACAAATCGGTGATTATGTTTCAGAGTGTTGCATTTAAATTTATGTGGTATAATAGTGCTCCTTTTGCTTATTCATGGCCTCAGATAATACTTTATATTGTTTCAAAATAACAGAAGATATTAGATAGAAGTATTGTGTCTGTAGATATCAATCACCAGCTTTTTCTAGGCTCTCAGCTGGAAAAAGATGTTTCTGCTCTTTTTCAAGTGCATTTGTTCAGCAAAATGCCAGTTCTGCCCTTCCTACAGTATTCAATGTAGGATTTTAGTCATCCATGCCCTGCAAAAACTCCCTGGTAGCTCTTGACTGTTGCTCTTATTTTTATACAGTTTTATAAAAAAAGAAAAAGGAAAAAAGAAGTATATGAAGTACATATAAAAGCAAAATTTAGATTTTGTGTGACAGAGTGATGGAAAGTTCGAGTTGTGGGGGAAAGGGAGAGGGTTGTAAGAAAATGATGCCAGTTTGCATACCAGCTGGTTACTGGAAAAGGCAGGCTGACCTTTGGAATTGTTTGCTCTAATTGCTTTTTACTTAAGTGCACAGTGTAATGATCTTCCATTTGGGATGAAACAATTACAAAGCATGTTTCTTCTAGCAGTGACTCGTACAGGAATTGTACACTTTAAAACGTCTTCTTTCTTGTTCCCAGCAGCAGTAGTTAGAGCATCCAAACAAGGTGATTAACACTTCTGTGACGTAAAAAATTTCCTCTGAGTTGAGAGTTCTCCCTGCATATGGAAGGGATATTTCTGTGCTGTGACTAACATAAAGATGGTGTAGTTGCAAAAAAATATAAAGTTATATAGAGAAATGTATAGGAAATATATTATTTCAGAATATTAAACCTAAGGTGGGACTTTCTCTCCAAAATACAGCTATCAAAATCATTTTACCTTCTTGAAGCACAGCTCCTCTGCTTTTGAAGATCATCAAATTTTAAAAGTCTTAACTAGCCAGTGGAAATCTTTTGTCAGTCTTTTGGTATTGCAAGGTGTCCTAGCCAAAAGCAAACAACAAAAGCGTAACTCTGTTTATTACAGTGGTCATTCGTATGGTGTTGAACGTTGCATGTATTTTAGCACAATGGCATGAAGCTGCTTTGCTTTGTAAAGGCAAAAAAAAAAGTACAGCTGGAATTGTTCCTTGCGGTGGTGTGTTGCTTTACCAAGCGTTTGTGGCTCGTTTCGTTGCTCTCCTTGCTGGAACTGAGACTGTTCCCGACACATTGCTGGCATGGTGCAAGGGGTGTCAGATCTGTACTGACTTTGTGGGTGTTTATGGAACACTATTACCAAAGCTAGGAATGGAAGAAAGGTTCTTTCAGGGTTCAAGGGCTTCCAGGGAGCTCCCAGCAAAGGTTGGGGTAGATTGGAGACATCCTGTAGCATTGTATTATTGCAACTTGATACGCTGTTGCCAGCCTGGTTCTTGGAAGGATGTGCAGCATAGGCTATTATTTATGTACCAAGATGAAAAACTTGATGTGGACCAGTTATGTTATGCATAATATCAAGTGCTGCCATTTTCTCTTTAGTAACTGGAGCCTGGCAAACAATCCATAATGCATACATAAAATAGTTTGTGCTGCTTAACATTTGTCTACAAACAGATCCCAACTGAAGCTTTATTCAGTATTCCTGACTAATTCCTGTCTGAAAATAATTTGCTGACTCTTGTTTATTCCTCTTCAGTCTTGGGGCTGTTTGAGCAGAAATACCACATTGTGGAACACCTGCCCTCAGCTTTAGGGTGCAGATGCTTGGGATGTGAATTCAGGGCTCGCTTTCTGTGAATACTCTGTAATATGGTTATTAACTCACATGTAAGTTGAGCTTAAGATCCTGCTCTCCCAAATGCTGCAGAAGCACTGGGAAGACATGGTGCAGGCCTCTGAGCAAAAGTATTCCTCCAGATTCGATCTCAGTAGTGAACCTGACTGGATATTCACAGGGGAAAAAATAAAGGGACCACGTGACACTGTATTATGTGCTGAAATAGGCACAAATGGTCCCTGATTTCTCGTCAGTCCAGTGCTAGCCTTTCAACAAAGGCAGATGATGGTTTAAGTCCAGTTAAGTAGCATTCTGTTCCCAACAACCCCGTTCCTGCATTCACCAGTTGGAAGCCAGGTCATCATTGCTTCATAGCTGCCTGTCCTCTGAACCTTGGTTATTTTATGAGGCTGGAATATGAAAGCAAGTGATCAAGTCAGGAAGTTTATATGTGCATGTGCACACAATGATACCTTTGGGGTATTTTAATTTGTGTGTGTTTGAAGAGGACAACATAACTATTGTGTATTGCCATGTAAAATCCAATAAAGTCTGTGGAAAATGCAAAGTGTTTCCTTTTTTTTCTTTTTTATTTTCATAGGCAGCTTGTTTTGTTCTGTTTAAAAAACACAGGAGGGAAGAGGGGCAAAATTGCACATTTTTTGTGGACTCTGATTGTCGACAGTGCCTGCAGAAGGAGTCAGCTAACGGCTAAGAAATCAGCTACACTGAGTCTTTCTACTTATTTCTGGGATCCAGGTTTGAACCATCTTGGGTTGTTTGGTATGATGTGATAAGAAAGAGCTTCTCTGTTGCTCAGTGTGTGTTCCTCGGGGAGGCCTCATGGAGTGCCAAAGGAAGGACCAGCTCTGGCCCTTCTTGCTGTATAGAGCTACTGTCTCTCTGGTCCCAGGTGCCATTCCTCGCAGCCCTCATCAGTCATAGGAGCTCCAGCTACTACACATTGTTGCAGGGGTGCAGGTACTAATGATGATCAAGGTTTTCCCCAATGTAGCACAGATAGTGGACCAGAAAATGCAGAATCCCTATCTGTCTTGTGCCCTTCATTTCTGTGCTTTTGTTAAATCAGCAGATCAACATTCAGTGGGAACACTGAGGATAAACAACTCTTTGAAACCTAGAATATAATAAGCTGTTGTTGTCTGTTTTTTTACAGTAGTGATGAAAACGTAGATGTGTATCCATAAAGAGCCTATGGAAATTAAACCCAGCTTTTTTTCTGTTTGCTTAAGTTACGTACATGCATCCAACCTCAGGACTTCTACAGGGCAGCCTGTTCCAGTGCTCTGCCACCCTCAACATAAAGTTCTTCCTTGTGTTGAGGTGAAACTTCTTGTGTTTCAGTTTATGGGCATTGCTCCGTGTGCATCGCCAGGGCACAATTAATGCTACTGTCCGTAGCAGCAGTACTGAGATACAGGCAACAGCCCATCAAAAAAGACCACTGCGTCATTTCAAGCACCCTTAGAAGTCCTCAGGTTTGGATGCACACCTTTCTCTGGGTGATTAAAAGAAAAAGGTTTCATCTCCAGGAAACACCCAGTGCCAATAAAATGGCTTCTCCGTAATAGTCCTAGAAAGGAGATCAAAGGTGATAAGATCAGTCTGGAGTGAGATAGCATCAGCTAAAGGAATGGTGCCGGAATTAGCAGTGAGGAAAACGAGCACAGATGAATTCAGTAGGTGTGAAAGTCACTGGGCCTGTGGGGCTGGTTGCTGCGCAGTCAGCTGCAGAGAAACGCCCAGGAGGAAGCCTGCTGCTCTGCAGAACAACAGCGGGTTCACAGTGCTTGGCTCTGCCGCTGCCATGACGAGCTGGAGAGCGGCAGGTAACCAAGTGCATGCTTAATAGGTCTGGCTGAGCCCAGTGCCTACATAGCCCTTGATGGAATAGGAGGGGACTTCCCCGACGTCGTCTGCCTGTGGAAATGAGCTCCTGCATGGAAAATGGGCCAGGTCTCGCATGAGGACAACCAGGAGAACAAGGCTGAAGCTCTCATCATCTGTGAAGTCTTCAGCCAAGGTGTGGTCCATGCATCTCAAAGGCTGAAGGACTGCCTTGGTTTTGTGGATCCTCAGAGCAAATTCAAGGCAGCTGCAAACACGTTGAGTGAGATCTTTTTGGTCAACTTCATTAGCTTCTGCATGGAAAAGGGAGTGGAGGAACGTATCATGGCCAGCAAAATGACCAAGCAGCAGTCCTCCCTGTTTGGGGTGGACTGGATCTGGACCCAGTCTGGAGCTGACAAGCAAATCAAGCCTCAGCTTGTGGTGCAGGCTTTATAGCTGGCTGAGCTTTTCCATAGCTGAGGTGGTGGCGGATTGCTGCCAGGAAGCTGTGCTGGCAGACCAAGAACAGGAGCAGGTTTGAGAAGCTGGTGGAGTTCTGCCACCTGGTAGGACGGGACTGCCTGGGCTTGTTCATCATGTTTGGTGTGCCAGGGAAGCCCAAGGACATCCGAGGAGTCATGCTAGACAGCATTGCCAAGGAGCGAAACTACCGCCTGTCGGGCAGGGATGTGCTACGGCAATTTGTCACCAGTGCTGACGGCTTCCTGCCCGCAAAAGACACGTTGGAAAACTGCCTTGGCACAAAAACCGGACTGAGGGAGGTGGGTAGCGTGTACATAAAACTTCCTGTAAACTGCTGGGTACGGCAGTGGCTCTCTGCACCCCGGCACCACAGGCTGCGTGGGGCTCAGCTCTGCGCCTCACTTTTCTTCTCACACAACATTCCTTCCACCCCCTTAATTCCCACCTTCCCCTCCAACCATCGCATTCCCTTGGCTCCTGCAGGAGCCAAGCTGAGTCAGTCTCTCCAGGTTTTAGAACAACAGGACTCACCTGCCAGAAAAATGTGTTTATAGAAGGCACGTCATTTTTCCAGAACACTTTGTTCACCAGACATTAAGTGTTGGCTGGAGCCAGTGAAAGCTTTATCGCCCCGAGCCTTTGGGCGGTCATGGTAGAGCTGACTCACAGCCTTTGGTGCCTCTGTGACAAGTGTTTTCCTGTAATAGCGAGTTGTGTCTGTGATGAAGAAAATGTAATGGTCAGATTAGCATTGAGCGTGAAGGACACTATCGAAGCTCAGAAATGCTGGTTTGGAGGCATGAGCTGGTACCCAACCAAGAGGAAAAGCCCTTCCCAGCAGTAAAAATGGGCTATATGGGGCTATACACCTGCCCCTTAATAGTAGATCAGTGCCAAGCTATGGAGGGCTGCAGCACTGTGACTGAAAAGCAGGGGCAGGGTCGGTCCCGGTCCCAGCTTCAATGCCTGTTCCTGCTGCGTGGCAGGCCTGTGCCTGCTGAGTGGCTGTCTGAGGGCAAGGAGTGGCCAAAGGCAGTGGCAGGCACTAAAGAAAACTTGGGAAAACATCAACTAGTGAGGACAAAACCCACTTCTGGAGATGGTGGTGGGAGTTTTTGCTTCTCATGGCAGCAGCAGCGGCTTCTCACTGCTCATGGCAGAGAGCAGAAGTCTGGAGGGGGCAAAATCCTATCACTTTGAATTTGTTTTGAGCAACTCAGCAGCTGGTTGCATTTAGGGACTGATTTATTCCATTTGCCTCTGGTTTTGGTGGACAAAGTAAGACTTTGGGGTTGCATAATTGTAATTACTTTCTTTCAGCCACAGTTAACCAGTGAGGAAAGACCTGAGCAGTTGTCAAACTGGAAAACTCGCTGTTTGTAGCAGTCAGAATAGTTTGGTCAGTGCAAAGCTCCTCTGCCTGTAGTTTTCTTGTAGTTGTGTTCCTCTTATTTAACAGAAAAAAAGTACCTTCAAAAGCTTATTCATATTTTGCTAGGTACTATTGGAATTACAAGATGGGGCAGCTGCAGCAGCTGAGAGAAAGGCTGGTAGTTGTACAGCTTTCCTTGGCATAGGTGTGGAGGCTAAAAGGCAAACTGAAATAAAGACAAACACATGGAGAACTGTGAAGTTTTGCCAAGCCCTAAATGTAGCTGGGTATGGAGAAGGGAGGCCTTTTGGCTTTAAAAATAGTTCATTGAGAGACAGTTGTTTGTTTGTTTTTAAAGAGCTGGCATCACTGTGGTGTTTTGTTTGTAGCAGGGGTTTGGTGGGACAGAGGGAAAAGTTCTGGTGTTTTACATAGAAACATGCATAGCTGTGGGGATACGTGTATTCAGGAGAGTTGGGTTGGTTTGGCGTCTTTTTGCTTGTTTAACCCAACAGCTGCAGCAGGAGTGCTTGGTTTAAAAAAGACCAGCAGAAGAGCTTGAATTTTGCATTAAATTGATATCTTACTTGCAACTCGTATGTGTCACTTAAGCTATTCAGTTCTGCAG